AGAGTTGCATTTAAAAGTTACTGAATATGCAAAATCCGTTTGGTGTTAATACTGACCTCACGCCCGTATGTAGAAAGCTGTGTTGTCCCTGGATTAAGTTTGTTCTACACCCCCCCCCTCCCAAACTGAAGCAATTCAGCTTCTTTTTTTTCTTTCTTTCTTCTTTACGAGGCGGTGTCATTTTGTATATCACTATCAGGGCCTACCCGTGTTGAATGACATACAGCATCCCGCCAGTGAGAAAGTCGAAAGCACTCGATATAATTTTAATTCTATTCCAGCAAGCTTCGAGCACTATTTTTGTCCTATATGTGCAAAAGCTATGAGTTCAACCAAATCACCGTAACCGCAGACGTACTGTGGTGTTCTGGGATAAGATGGTTTTAAGACATTTTTCTTAGTAAAGTGCGTAGTAAAGCATAGTCTAAAACTGTTTCAATCTTGTTGCAAGGTACATGAATTATGGTCTGTTTTGTTGTTTGTTTGTTTTTGGGTGTGTTTTTTTTTTTGGGGGGGGGTTGTATTTTTTTTTGGGGGGGGGAGGGTGTTGGGTTGTTTTTGTTTGTTTTTTTGTTGTTCTTTTTTGTTTTGCTTTTCCCCTATGCTTTAACTTTAAGAAGTGTGAATAATTTGAGGAAGAAACAAACCACTTGCCAAGGCATCTAAAAAGGAAAGATTACTCAAGGGAAATTACACAACACAGTAGACTTATTATTATCTAGAACCCTGATTTGTCATTACTGCTAATACTGTAGACGAGTCACACTCCCATCAGCACAATTTAGATCATTTATTAAGCTGGCTACTTCCACAAATCTGAATATTGTTTTCCACGTACCTGCTCGCTCAGCCATCTGTCTGAATTTATGTTACCTCTGAATCTGCTTAGAGCTTCGGATCTATTTTTAAGTAGGCCATTTCTCCTTAAACTTATGTTTTAATTGTCCTTTGAAAAGTTTGCACCTCCTGTAGGTTTCGAAAGAAAGGAAAATTTTGTAATTAGTTTCAAATTTCTAAAATTTTTAATTGTTTTTTAATCTTAACAAAATAGTCACATAATGAAAGAACTTGTCGGTGGCGTGGTTTTTGTTGTTGTTGTTTTTTTTATCCAATAACGTTTCCATCTTGAGATACCATGTGCAAACGTGTCATTTTAATTTTAAATTTGTTTTTTTCATATTTATTTATTTTTAAAAATCTTTTTTATTATGTTGTATGGGGGGCGGGGGGGGGGGGTTCGTCGTGTATGTTTTATAACATTTCTGTTCAGCTCTGTGTCTAAGGGATGTGGTGGGGGAGGGGTGACTGAAGCTCTACATCACCTAAATTGTTAGAATGGTATTGGATACTATATAATTTAAATTACAGCTAGGCCACATTACGTAAAGTATCTTCTTTTGAACCTTTTGGCCGATTGTCACATTTGAACAATATTTTGAGGTGTGCTGAGGATTTTGGCCTTATGGACATAGATACATCAAATTGATAGGTGGAGTTTGTACAATTTGTAAGTATGAAATAGTAAAAGTAAAAGACACGGTGGACTTGAAAAAAATGGGATCAATTTTAAAAATCTATAAATCTGACACCAGTGTCGATTTTCGGCCGATATGTCCATTTTTGGATTGCGAGAAGTAACTCATTTCGTCAGCATATGTGTCACGACGCGGTGGAATCAGGCTCTCGTCAATTGTGTGGCATGTAGAGTTATTGGTATCATTTTAAAGCTTGTTCATTCCTCTTGTTTTGGAAGAAAGAAATATCCATTTATCTAGAATAGTAGTCGAGATATTTGTGATTGAAGGAGGTGAGAGTAGCATGGTTTCAAAGGTAAAATTATCAAGAAAAAGGCCTCCAAAGTTTGGTAGCTTCTATAGCTTGAGAGTCGTTGAAAACTGAAAATTTACTTATTTTGTGCCATTAATAAACGTTTTTCTGTAAAATTCACACGGAAATGTGTTTTTGTATGGACATAAAAGATGCTGAGCCAAAAGACATAATTTGAAAAAAAAAATGCCTGTTTCATCGATTTCATTATTTTGACGAGTGCCTGATTCCACCACGATGCCTCACATATTATTATTATACCTCTACACCAGCGCAACCACCTCGACAACGAACAATGTAGCCTACCATCCGTCCACAAAACCACTACCGCACAATAATATGTATGTAGAACGAAACTATTTTCAAAAGCTCTTCTCTTATCTAACTCGACGATCGACCAGAACTAAATCATTCACTTTAGTATACAGCTGGCTCCTGGAGATTGGAGGATTTCCTTACCAGTTTTCCATGTCATTATGCGTGTCCCGTGGTATACAGAACATGAATCAGATACGTGAAACCTCTCGTGGTGTCAGACAGGAATACACTGAGAAGCGGCAATGGTAGAAATAAATTGATAAGCAGAGAAAGCAAAATGCAATGTTATTTCAAGCTTATTTTCAACGTTTGACTAGGCCGATCTGATTCAACCCCGCCAAACCTAACGCTCGCAGTTGCAGGAGGAACACAATGAGCTTGCCCATTAATTTTAGGGCACACGTACAATCCCCTCACCCGAAAAAAACAACAACTCAAAAACAACAACAGGAGGAGGAAAACAATGAGCTTGTCCATAGTATCTCAGGCACAAGTAACCCC